GACAGACAGACAGACAGACAGACAGACAGACAGACAGATAGATAGATAGATAGATAGATAGATAGATAGATAGATAGATAGATAGATAGATATCAGTTTATATTGCCACAGCTGGTCCTTACAGGGCAATCATTTAGAATGGCAATTGCCAAACAGGCTTGGGAAATTCTTAAAATGTTGCCAGGATCTTTTGAGAGGTTATCAGATTTCAACAAAAGAATGAGGTAGGCTCCCATTAAAAGCAACAGTTTGGTGCTCCCTCTTTTGTTTAGCAATGTGCTAAATACATTGAATGTAGTGTGTGATCTGGGCCAGATTCACTGTGATGAGAACCCACACATCTATAGCCACCTCACTGTAAGTTAAACATCTTCCTAGGATATGCTAAGTTCCTTGCAATCCAGGGAGATCCTGTGGAAGATGCTCAGCCGTTCCTCAGCAGACAGTTGAATGGGGCAGGTGATTCTGAATGTAGAAGAGAAGAATCCTGCCTTGGTTTAAAAAACTGTTCTATCAATCTCAGAATAACATGCATGCTCTCTCTTTAAATGTCACTGCTATTATTAGTCTTGATTATTGTATTCTTTCTCTTCACAGGGTTTCAGACAAACTAAAGCAGTCTCCACAGTCCCTGCCGGAAGCCAACAGCACTGATTCCGGACTGATGCAGCCAGAGAATGGCTCCCTCTTGTCCCTCAGTGCACTGGATTTGGCCTTCTCCCAACTTAAGCACCGGTTGCAGAACATCACTTTGCAGCTTGGTGGTACTCTGCTGGCCCCCACTCAAAGGACACGAAAACATGTTCTCTTAATGGCCACCACCCGTACCGGCTCTTCCTTTGTAGGGGAATTCTTCAACCAGCAGGGCAATATTTTCTACCTCTTTGAACCACTGTGGCATATAGAAAGGACCGTGTCCTTCGCTTCTGGTGGTGCTAATGCTGTGGGATCAGCCCTTGTCTACAGAGATGTTTTGAAGCAGCTCTTCCTCTGTGACCTTTACATTTTGGAAAACTTCATAATCCCATTCCCAGAGGATCATCTGACTCAGTTTTTGTTTCGGCGTGGTTCAAGTCGCTCTTTGTGTGAGGAGCCTGTTTGCACACCATTTGTCAAGAAGGTCTTTGAGAAGTACCACTGCAAGAATCGTCGCTGTGGCCCCCTGAATGTGACTCTGGCAGTGGAGGCCTGCCTACAGAAAGAGCATATGGCACTTAAGGCAGTTCGAATTCGACAACTGGAATTCTTGCGTCCATTAGCTGAAGATCCCCGCCTGGACTTGAGGATAATTCAGTTAGTGCGGGATCCTCGTGCAGTGCTGGCCTCTCGCATGGTGGCTTTCTCAGGTAAGTATGAAACCTGGAAGAAATGGGCTAATGAAGGTGCAGCAACCCTTAATGAGGATGAGGTCCAGAGATTACGGGGCAACTGTGAAAACATCCGGCTTTCAGCTGAACTTGGTTTAAAGCAGCCAGCATGGCTCCAGGGTCGCTACATGCTAGTCCGCTATGAGGACATTGCCCGGTCACCCCTCCAGAAAGCCAAGGAGATGTATAAATTCACTGGAATCACTCTCACCACGCAGGTGGAGGACTGGATCCGGAAAAATACGCAGGCCCCTCAAGATAGCAATGGCATCTACTCCACCCAGAAAAACTCCTCTGAACAGTTTGAGAAGTGGCGATTCAGCATCCCCTTCAAACTCGCCCAGGTGGTGCAGAATGTCTGCACTCCAGCCATGAACCTGTTTGGCTACAAGCTGGCCAACAGTGCTGAGACTCTTACAAACAGATCCATCAGCTTGCTAGAAGAGAGGAGGAACTTCTGGGTCACGTAAAGGTTGCCTTCATTGGTGGATTTTTTCGATCATAGCATTCTGTGAGTTGAGAAAGAGAGAATGCAAAAATATATAGATTGAGGAGGGAACACATGGGCAGGAAGGGTTGGGGGAGAAGCCATCCTTGGCTGTTTGGCTTCAGCTTGTCTTGACCATTCAAGCAAGGTGCTTTTGGCTTTTTCCAGAAGCAGGCATCACTTGCTGACATATTTGAGACTCCCAGGTGGATTATAACGTGACCACAAACATTGACATGAAGAAGTATTCTGAAGCTGACACAAAGTAGAGGATTCAACACTGTGTTTCAGTGTCCCTACCTCACATCCACATCATTTGGTTGGAGATGTTATCTCTCATCGTCACCAAACATCCAAAGAGAGTGAATGTTTTATATTTAAAATAAATTTAACACTTGGAAGAAAAACATAGGTTTCTAAACCTGCAGAGAAGATGTGAGAGAAGCAGAGTGTTGCACTGATCTTGTCTCAGCCTTAAAGAATCTGTCAAGCAGATATTTGGGAAGAGAGGAAGGGAAGGAAAGAAGCTTATTTAGCCCAATTGACAGGAAGAAAGCTGACTGCTTCATTGTGTAGACAGAGATTGTTTTGTACACATTCTCCCTGAAACCCTCAGATAAATTGATGCCTTGTTTAAACTGAGGAGGTGTGACTGGTTCACACAGTTCCTTGGGGAAGGGACCCATGGCATAGAGCTGAAGTGGCTCTACCCGTAAGCATAAGACTTTGGGCTACACACAATTTCAGGCACTTTGTGTGTTTAAACTCAGCGCTTTGAGTGACAGGTTTGAAGCAAACAAGCAATGACCTATTCTAAGAGAATGGAACAACAGTCATCCTATATCTGTGAATATCAGCTTTTCTTATGCCATTAGTTGTTCTGCTGCCCAGTGGCCTTTCTTTTTTTAAGTCTGTTGTCTGCTTTTCTTACCTCTGAATCAGTCGTATTGATTCTCGTCCGGTGTCTGGGACACTAAAGAGAAGAATGCCGCTTTCTCATTTAGTGAAAGAAAGTTGTGGTTTTAATTGCATTCTTCTCCTTTAACCCTATAATCGGGTTTGTGTTCTTTAAAGTGACATTGGAAACTGCTAGGACTTCCCCTCTGTAATTTTTGCGGGAAAGTTTTTCTCCAGACCACATCTATTGAAGCAGAAAGAGGAAGTCTTGGAAAGGAGGGAGCAAGCAGACTTGGTCAAGAGCAAGGCAGCAGGAATGATTTTTGTAAAAGCAAGAAACAGGATCTCTGACTGCCACCCTAGAATTCTTCTTACTCATTTCTGGTTTAAGAGCTTTGCTTGTTATTTTCATTGGTTGCTTCCAGAAGCAAACGTCTACTGAATTTCATTTAGCTGTTAATCTGGAGCACTTATTAACATGGTAGAAGGTATAGCCTGAGTGGGAATTTGGAATTTCATCCCAGATACACGTGCTTCACAAGTGAAGCCATGCCAGGATTTTGATTGCATAAATAAATGCATGCATGCATGCACTGGCCTAGGGCAACCAAACCTGGTGTTCTCCAAACCTGGTTGGACTACAAACCCCACCCCCACCAATTCCCAGGTATTTTGTTTAAATGGTAACATTTTCAACATTGGGAATGTTGACATGGATTTTCACGCATCACTGAGTTGATAAATGGATGGATTAACATCAGGGCCTGAACACACACACACACACACACACACCCTCCAAAGAATAGTAGTATGTTTGTCACCTCTCTGTGCAGATTCATTAACAACCAGAGTTCCTCATGGTGCTACTGATTGTCCTGCAGTGCTAATTTAACACCTAGCAAAAAAACAAAAAAAAACCATTTTTTCTGCAGCAGGAAGAACATTCAATGCTTCAGCTGTTTTTGTCCCTCATCCTTAAACAAAACACAAAAGGCAATCATTCAAATAGCCATTTCTTTTCTTTTTCTTCTTTTCCATGGAGCGCTGCAGTGAATAAGCGACCACATTTGTTTTGATTCACTCAAAGTCACAAAGATCGGCATGACCGTCATTCTGTTTCATGGCATTGATTGAGTGAATAGGAATGGGCTTTGCGTTGATGTGGCAAGAATGTGTAACGATGAGTTTGCCTTTCCCTCTTGTTTGCCTGCAAGAAAAAGTACCTGCTTCCAGACATAACAGCATATGATAATGCAGATTTATTTCTGAATAAAGTGGTTCTGAGATACCATTTAGTTCCTCCAAGTGTTGGCCAAAATCAGAACCTTAAGGCTGTACAGCCCCACTGGATGTCTGAATTGCAGACAAAGCTGGATTTTCTACAAAGTATCAAGAAGGAAAAAGATGGCGCGTCAGCTAACATCCCCACAATTGATTCCATTCACATTTGTGATATGGCTTTCCCACTTACTACTTCACTGGTAGTATTTATTTGAAGGGTAAGTAGTGGCTGGTTCACATATTCAGATTAATTGGTAAAGTGGTGCCATTTCTACATGATTCATACAATGTGTCAACTTACTCTCAACTATAAGTCATAGCAGTCTTTCAGTTGGTGGCCTGCTCCATCTCTGTTAATTCATTGCAAGGATGCATTGTCTTCTCGCACCAGGTGGGTGCTCTTGCACATAACTTTTTGTCTGCAACAAGCCTTTCGGATATCCCTGTGTAACCTTGGATATGCTCTACTTCAGGACTACATCCAATTCTCTTAGATGGAGTGTGTTGAAATATTCTGTCCGTCCTACAAAAACATTCTGAATTAGATGTTTCAACCAGCATTGTATTTACTGTGCAACAGTGTTTTCCTTTTGTGATAGACTATTTTTATGTTTCTCGGTGTGGTGGTGGTGGTGGAGCTTGGAAATTTATCTTAATTTTTTTATGATTATTTATGTCAAAGAGCTAGGGCTTGATAAAGCCACAACTTCCTGCCTTATTTTGAAATTTCTGTTCTTTTCTTTTTGAATGCTGTAAACTCTGCAGTTTGTTAATTTATTTATTGTATGGAGAAGATAACAGTTGCTTTATTAGAAGGAATCAAAAGTGCACAAAAATAAAAGCAATTTTCCCAAGAATCAGAGCTCAAATTCAATTAAATTAAGAATGGCTCTAGTTAAATAAAATGGACTTATGTTTTTCTTTTTTAAAATGCAACCCTTTTAACATTAGGAAGGGCTCCATTTAAAGGAAGGAACAGTATGGGAAACAATTACATTTCATTATCCCTGTATAACCTTGGAGCATTAAATAACAGTATCCGGAAACTGATAAGAGAAGCCATATGCTTTCCTAAATATATTTTCTATATCCTCAGTTCAACATAAACTTTTCTGCTGCACAGAAGAAAATGGTCTGTTATTTCCTTAAAAAAGAAAAACACATAGTTGCCATCATATCGACGTTTTAAAGAAAGTGTGCACAATATGGTGCATACGATGCCCTTTTATTTTTTTAAAAAACAACCTTAAAATTTAGTGAAATTTTGGAGAAAGGAACAATATCGTATACAGTTTTATAGCACCAGCACCAAAACTCGGTGCACATTTTTGCAGCAAAGCCAACAGGGCTTACATATTCCTGCATTTGCGAGGTTTGTGGTCAGAGTCTGTATTTTTCCTTCCTGCATGAGGGATTGGTGGATCTGAAATCAAATGATCTGTGTTTTGTATACAGTTCTGCCTGCAGTTGGCAAAGGTCAGGATGCAGTGAGAGTCTAGAGTGGATCCTCTTTCTCTGGACAACCATCTTGCTAATTCTGGAACCAATTAATTCTCATTCCCCTTTTTGCATTTTGGCAGCCACAGAGGTTTTCGGTTCTGCAAGGCTGAGGGTATTTTTATAGAGACGTTTATTTAAATGGATATTGACACTGTGCAGTCATACGAAGTTTTGTTGGCTTCAGGGACAGAGTCCCTGGCAGTGTTCCTAATTCCAAGAAGGATGGAAAACAGGCCTAACTTGGGATTCGGTCTCAGTGTAGGAGCAGCAGACCCATCGAGGAAGATGGACAAGAAATCCACAGGCAGTTCTTTGGGGATCCCACCAAACGGCTTCTCTTCTACAACTCCAAGGATAGACAGAGTGTTCCAGTCTTCTGCTAAGTCAATCATTTGACCATCTTTGGTACAAGGGCATCCTTCAAGGGTAGTATATTTATTTACGGAAGACTTTTAAAGAAATTTAGTGAACGTATCTCCAATCTGGGAGAGAGGGAAAGAGCCCCTGACCTTTTTTAAATAAAAGGGAATAGCTTTGAGATATTCAACCCACTAAATTATAGCAAGGCAGGTTTCCCAACTCGTTCTGCCCCTTTGTGTTTTCTGATGGTGCTCTAATGCAGTGTTTCTTAACCTCAGCAACCTTTAAAAGGATGTGAATTTAATTCCCCCAAAATCCCCCCCCCAACCAAACCCGGTGGTGGGGTAG